ATGAAATCATACCGTGTGATCTTTTGGGTCTGGTTTATTTGAAGTAGTAAAACATTTTCAAGGTTCATGCTTGTTGTAGCTTGTATCAATACTTCCTTTTATTGCCAAGTAATATTCCATTGTATGAATGTTATCCCATTTTATTTGTCTGTTCACCTGTTGATGTATATTTGGGTTCGTTCTACTTTGTAGCTAATGTGAATAATGTTGCTTCAAACATTCATATGCAAGTTTTTGCACAGACATATGTTTTCATTTCTGTCATGTATATACCTGGGAGGTGAATTTCTGGGTCATATGCTAACTCTATGTTTTACCTTTTGAGGAACTGCCAAACTCTTTTCCACAGTGGTTGCACCATTTAATGTTTCAGCTAGCAAGGGATGAAGATTCCGTTCTCTTCAGTGCTAAACTATTTGTCTGTCTTTTTTGATTAGAGACATTCTAGTGGTGTGAAATAGTTATCTCATTATAGTTCTGATTTGAATTTTCCTGATAGCTAATTATATTGAACATCTTTTCATGAGCCTATTGGACATTTCTACATTTTTCTTAGAGAATTGTCCATTCAAATCCTTTGTCCATTTCTTTTGTTGGTTTTTCTTATTATTGAGTTGTAAAAATTCTTTATGTCCTCCATCCAGAAGTTCCTTATCATATATATATATGATTTGTAAATATTTTCTCCCATTCTGTCAGTTGTCTTTTCACCTTCTTGATGGTGTCTTTTGAAGCATGGAAGTTTTAAATTTTGATGAAATCCAAGTAATGTTTTTTATTTTTGTCATTTGTGCTTTTGTTGTTGTATCTAAGAAACCATTGCCGAAGCCAAGGTCACAAAAATTTACTTGTATGTGTTGTTCTGAGAGTTTTGTAGTTTTAGCTCTGATATTTAGGTGTATCATCCATTAACAGTTAATGTTTTGTGTGCGATCTAAGGAAGACATCCTGCTTCATTGTTTTGCATGTGGAAATTCAGTTGTCCCAGAACCAGTTGTTGAAAAGACTTTTCTTGGTACCCTTGTGGAAAATCACTTTACCATAAATGTGAAGATTTATATTTGGCCCCTCTAGTCTATTCCATTGATTTCTGTTTGTCCATATGCCATTACCATAGTGTCTTGATCACTGTAGCTTTTTAGTAGGTTTGAAATCAGAAAGTGTGAATCTTCCAATTTTGTGCCTCTTTTCAAGTTATTGTGTGTTATTTTGGCTCCCTTTTCTATATAGATTTTAGGATAGCTTGTCAATTTCTGTAAGAAATCTGAGATATTAATATGGATTATGTTATATTTCTTGATCAAATTGGAGGCTCTTTCTTAACAATATTAAATCTTTTGATCTGTGAATGTGAATATATCAATTTACTTAGGTCTTTAGAAATTACTTTCTTTTTTGAGATGGAGTTTTGCCCTTGTTGCCCAGGCTGGAGTGCAGTGGGTATGATCCTGGCTCACTGCAACCTCCACTTCCTGGTTTAAGCGATTCTCCTGCCTCAGCCTCCTGAGTAGCTGGAATTACAGGCATGTACCACCACGCATGGCTAATTTTGTATTTTTAGTAGAGACGGAGTTTCTCCAGGTTGGTCAGGCTGGTCTCAAACTCCAGACCTCAGGTGATCCGCCTGCCTCAGCCTTCCAAAGTGCTGGGATGATAGGTTTGACCCATTGCACCTGGCCCTAAAATTACTTTCAACAGTGTCTTATAGTTTTAAGCATACAGGTTTTGCTTTTCTTGGTAAAATTTATTCCTAAGTATTTTATTCTTTTTTGGTGCTTTTGTAAATAGAATTGTTTTCTCATTTCATTTTTGGATTGTTCAATGATGGTATATAGAAATATAATTTATTTTTGTATATTGACCTTGTACCCTGTAATATTACTTAACTGTTTTTTATTTGTTTATATTTTAATTTTTGTGAATATATAGTAGGTATATCTATTTACAGGGTACATGAAATATTTTGATACAGACATGCAGTATGTAATAATCACATCAGGGTAAATGGGGGTATCCATCACCTCAAGCATTTATTCTTTGTGTTACAAACAATTCAATTATATAGCTTTAGTTATTTGATAATGTACAATTAAATTATTATTGACTACAGTCACCCTGTTGTGCTATCAGGTACTAGGTCCTATTCTTTATATATTTTTTGTACCCATTAACCATCCCAACTTTCCCCCTGCTTCCCACTACCCTTTATAGCCTATTGTAACCATCCTTCTACTCTCTGTCTCTATGAGTTCAAGTTTGTCTTTCTGTGTCTGGCTTATTTCACTTAATATAATGACCACCAGTTCTATCCATGTTGTTGCAGATAACAAGATCTCACTCTTTGTACCACATCTCTTTATTCATTCATCTGTTGATGGACACTTAGGTTGCTTCCAAATATTGGCTATTGTAAACAGTGGTGCAATAAACATAAGAGTGCAGATATCTCTTTGGTATACAGATTTCCATTTTTTTTGTTTTGTTTTGTTTTTTGTTTTTTTTTTTTTGGGGTGGGAGGTTATATACCCAGCAGCAGGATTGCTGGATTATATGGTAGCTCAGTTTTTAGTGTTTTGAGGAATCTCCAAACTGTTGTCCATAGTAGTGGTTGTACTAATTCACATTCCCACCATCAGCAGTGTTTCAGGGTTCTCTCTTTTCTACATCCTTACTCTTTGTTTTCTGGTCTTTTTCCTTTCCTGTCTTCCTGTCTTTCTTTTAGGGAAGGTAATTTTCTTTGGTGGTGTGACTTAATTTTACTTTTTTTGTATTCATTGTATGTTTTTTGATTTGAGATTACCATGAAGCTTGCAAATACTATTTTATAACCCATTATTTTAAACTAATGACAAGTTAACATGATTGTGTAAACAAACAAGCAAAAAGAAAACTAATGAAAAAAACTCTGTACTTTAACTTTGACACCCCCTCCGCTTTTTAACTTATTGTTGTTTCTATTCATAACTCGTTGTACTGTGTCTTGAAAAGTTGTAGTTATTATTTTTGATTGGTTCATCTTGTCTTTTTTCTTAAGACCAGAGTAGTTTACACACCACAGTTATACATTATTATTATAATGTGATAATATGCTTTGTTTGTGTACTTAATTTTACCAGTGAGTTTTGTACCTTCAGATGATTTGTTATTGCTCATTAATGTCCTTTTCTTTCTGGTTGATTAATCCCCCTTAGCATTTCCTTTTTTTTTCTTTTCTTTTCTTTTTTTTTTTTGAGATGGAGTTTCACTCTTGGGCCCAGGCTGGAGTGCAGTGGCGCCACCTGGGCTCACTGCAACCTCCGCCTCCTGGGTTCAAGCAATTCTTCTGTCTCAGCCTCCCAAGTAGCTGGGATTACAGGTGCCAACCACCATGCCCGGCTGATTTTTGTATTTTTAGTAGAGATGGGGTTTCACCATGTTGGCCAAGCTGGTCTTGAACTTCTGACCTCAGGCGATCCACCTGCCTCAGCCTCCCAAAGTGCTGGGATTACAAGTGTGAGCCACTGTGCCCGGCTCCCTTTTTTTTCTTTCTTGAGTTTCACTCTTGTTGCCCAGGCTGGAGTACAATGGCGCAATCTTGGCTTACTGCAACCTCTGCCTCCTGGGTTCAAGCAATTCTTCTGTCTCAGCCTCCCAAGTAGCTGGGATTACAGGTGCCAACCACCATGCCCGGCTGATTTTTGTATTTTTAGTAGAGATGGGATTTCGCCATGTTGACCAGGCTGGTCTCGAGCTCCTGACCTCAGGTGTTCCACCCACCTTGGCCTCCCAAAGTGCTGGGATTACAGGTGTGAGTCACTGTGCTTGCCCGCCGCTTAACATTTCTTATAGGACAAGTGTGGTGTTGATGAAATCCTTCAGCTTTTGTGTGTCTGGGAATATCTTTATTTCTCCTTTATGCTTAAAGGATATTTTCACCAGACGTGCTATTCTAGGGTAGACGTTTTTTTTTGTTTTTTGTTTTTTTTTCCCTTCAGCACTTTAAATATTTCATGCTACTCTCTCCTGCCGTGTAAGATTTCCGCTGAAAAGGCTGCTGCCACACATATGGGATCTCCATTGGATGTTATTTGTTTCTTTTCTCTTGCTGCTTTTAGGATCCTGTCTTTATTCTTGACCTTTGGGAGTTCGATTATTAAATGCCTTGAGGTAGTCTTAAGGTTAAATCTGCTTGTTGTTCAAGAACCTTCTTGTACATGAATATTTATATCTTTCTCCAGGTTTGGAAAGATCTCTGTTATTATCTCTTTGAATAAACTTTCTACTCTTATCTCTTTCTGTACCTCCTTTTTAATTCTTAATTACTCTTACATTTGCCCGTTTATGCCTGGGCATGGTGGCTCATGCCTGTAATCCCAGTACTTCAGAAGGCCAAGATGGGAAGATTGCTTGCATGTAGGAGTTTGACAGCAGCCTGGGCAATAAAGTGTGACCCCTTCTTTACAAAAAAAATTAAAATTAGCTGGGCATGGTGACACATGCTTATAGTCCCAGCTACTCAGGAGGCTGAGACAGGAGGATCTCTTGAGCCCAGGAGGTTGAGGCTGCAGTAAGCTCTGATTGTGCCACTATACTGTAGCCTGGGTGACAGAGGGAGACTCTGTCTGGAAAAAAAGAAAAGCTTTCCCCTTTTGAGGCTATTTTCTAGTTCTTGTAGGCATAGTTTATTCTCTTTCATTCTTTTTTTGTTATTGCTCCCTCTGACTATTTTTTGTGCCACTGTGCTCCAGCCTGGGCAACAGAGGGAGACCCTATCTGGAAAAAAAGAAAAAAATTTCCCCTTTTGAGGCTATTTTCTAGTTCTTGTAGGCATGGTTTATTCTCTTTTATTCTTTTTGTTGTTGTTGTTCCCTCTGACTATTTTTAAATAGCCTATCTTCAAGCTCACTAATTCTTTTTTTTGCTTCGTCGATTCTGATATTAAGAGACACTGATGCATTCTTCAGTATGTCAGTTGCATTTTTCTGCTCTAGAATTTGTGCTTCATTCTTTTTATTGATTTCAATCTCCTTGTTAAGTTGATCTAGATAGATTTCTAAATTCGGTCTCTCTGTTATCTTGAATTTTTCTGAGTTTCTTCAGCTATTTTGAGTTCTCTGTGTTAAAGGTCCCTTATCTTTCAGGCCAGGATTGGTTCCTGGTGCCTTAATTTAGTTTGTGTATGGAGGTCCTGTTTTCCTGGATGGTTTGGAATCCTGTGGATGTTCGACAGAGTCTGTACATTCAAGAGTTAGGTATTTATTGTAGCCTTCACTTCTGTGCTTTGTTTGTACCTGTCATCCTTGGGAAGGCTTTCCAGGTAATACAAGGTACTTGGGTGTTGTGATCCAAGCTGCATCTGTATTAGGGGCCACTTCAAGCCCAGTAACACTATGATTTATGCAGACTTGTAGGGGCACTGCCTTTATGGTCTTGGATAAGATCTGGAAGCATTCTCTACATTACCAGGCAAAAACTCTTGTTCCCTTTCATTCCTTTCTCCCAAACAAATGGGGTCTCTCTCTGTTTTGAGTCACCTGGAGCAGGGGGTGGGGTGACACAGTCACCATGTTGCTACCAGTACTGGAACTGCACTGGGTGAGACCTGAAGCCAGCACAGCACTGGGTCATGCCCAAGACCCACTGTAATTGCTACCTGACTCCTGCCTGTTTGCTCAAGTCACCTGAGCTTTATCATCAGCAGGTGGTGAAGCCAGCCAAGCTTGTGTCCTTTCCTCAAGGGCTCTAAGTGGGTCCAAAGATGTCTGTTAAACAAGGAGTGGAGTCAAAACCTTAGAAATCTACCTAGTGCCCTATTCTACGGCTAAACTGGCACTCAAGCCACGAGACAAAGTCTTTCCCGCTCTTCCCTCTCCTTTCCACAGGTAAAGAGCCTCTCTCCCTGGCCACCACTACCATAGGCCCACAGGAAGGACTGCCGGGCTACTGCTGATGTTGGCGGAAGGCCCAAGTTTCCTTCAGTCAGATTGTGGTGAATGCTGCCAGGCCTGGGACTTACCCTGCAGGGCAGTGGGCTCCTCTCTGGCCCGCAGCAGGTCTAGAAGTGCCATCCAAGAGGCAAGACCTGGCATTGGAAGCTGTAAGAATGTGCTTGGTGCTCTACCCCACTGTGTTTGAGATGATACCTAAGGTGTGAGACAAAGTCCCCTTAACTTTCTCTTTGTTTTTCTCAAGCAGAAGGAGTCTCTCCCCATAGCCACCACTACAACTGGAAATGTGCTAGGTCTCACCTGAGGTTAGCATGTCTGAATCTGACCCAGGGCCCACAGCGTACTACCTGGGTATCACTGCTGGTTATTCAGGGACCATAGGCTATTTAGTCAGCAGGTGATGAAGCCTGCCAGGACTGGGTCCTCCCTTTCAAGGCAGTGGGTTTTTTTTTTTTGGCCCAGGTTGTGTTTAGAAATGTCATTCAGGAGGTAGGGCCTATAATAGGGGTCTAATGACTGCCCAGTGCTCTATCCTACTGTGGCTGAGCTGGTATCCAAGAGGCAAGACAATGTTCTCTTTACCGTTTGTCTCCTCTCCTCAAGCAGAAGGATGGAGTCACTTTTGTTGCTGCAAGCTGTCCTGGCTGGGGTGCAGAAGGGGTGTTGCAAGCACTCCTATAGCCTCCCTCTTTCATGTCTCTCTAGGTTGCTGAAACTCAAGTTCTGACTGCTGGAATGGGCAATTCCCCTCTGGCTGTGACTGGTCTAAATGCTCCCTTCCTGGGTGGACATTGGCTGAGTTCATCCTGGTTTTGCTTTCTGCTGTGACAGGGCAGCAGTGAGTTTACTGCAAAGTACCGCAATCACAGTGCTTTCTTTCTCCTCCAGGCATACTCTGTGTACCATGTGGCCACTGCTGGGGGATGGGAAAGGACTGGTCTTGATGATTCAAGACTGTGTTTTCTACACTTTTCAGTACCTCTTGCAGTGATAGGAAGTTAAAACTGGGTACTGTGATTGCTCACCTGATTTTTGGTTCTTATGAAGGTGATTTTTGTGTGTGTAAATAGTTGTTAAATTTGGTGTTCCTGCTGGCAGGGGGGCAGGGGGCACAATTTGTAGAGGCTTCTAGTCATTTATTTTAATAATTTTTGTTGCATTACATAGGATTTTCTACATACAAGATGATGTAATTTGCAAATTAAGATTGTTTTACTTCTTTCTATCCCATCTGAATGCCCCTTTTATTTCATTTATTTCATTGTATTGGCTAAGACCTCTGGTGTAATATTGAAGCCAACAATAGAGTGGACCTCTTCATCTTATTTCTGATCTTTGGAAGAAAGTATTCAGTCGTGATTTTTTTTTTTTTTTTTTTTACCTCAAAGAAGAATCTATCATAACTTTTTTTTTTGAAGACTAATTTCCTTTTTATTTAAGAGTTTTTCTCTTTTGTTTACATACACAGATGATGTGCTGATTAGAAGGCTCACTTGTGC